TTATATAAATATATTTATAAAAAAGAAAATGAATTTGTTTTGAATGGACTAATATATATCATTCAGATTAAGAATCCAACAATAATTAATATGGAAGTAAATCAGCCTAACAGATATTTCTTTCTGAAATTGATGATGTTGATAATATATTGGGAATCTTGACCGACTTCACAAGTCTACGGAGAAAAAGAAGTGCAAGTGGATGGTGAAGCTACCGGGAAATCACTTCATTCCATGAAAAACGTTGAGGAAGAAATTTTTGTATTCCACAAGATCAAATCAATTGTTCAGAACACATGACTTTCCATGTCTATATATGACGAAAAACCAAAGTAGTTTACACAACAAGTTGGAGGAATTGACTAGTGACAGACAGTGATTGTGCAGCCTTAGACTTGATGCATCTATTGGATCCTCATAAATAAGAAAAAAGACAACCACTCACATTGGAACCTAATATGTCAAAAAATAAAAATAATGGATTTTCTTAATCACAAATAATGAATTTTCCAAGTTTAATCACAAATCCACAGATCAGTGGGTATATTTAGTATTGTAGTATAAATAGGACCTCTATGGTTGCCCGAATGCACATATGACATAACAAACAACAATATTCTACGTAGTACTTCATAGAATTATCCAAGATGATGATGAAAAAAATGGGGGCTTGGATGTTGCTAGCATTATTGACTTTGGTTGGCGACTGGTGTGGTCGTTGTTATGGGTGCTTGGAGGATGAGAGAATTGCTCTCTTAGAGGTCAAAGCTTTGACCAATCCAAACAGCATTTACATGGGAGATTGGGTGGAGTACAGTAGTAATTGTTGTGAGTGGTCTGGGATCGAGTGTGATAACACTACAAGGCGAGTGGTCTGGCTCTCTCTTAGGCGTGCAAGGGATCTGAGTTTGGGGGATTGGGTTCTCAACGCATCTTTGTTTCTGCCTTTTAAAGAACTGCAAAGTCTTTATTTGGGTTATAATGGACTAGTTGGTTGCTCTGAGAATCAAGGTCGGTTCAATGCTTCTGTTCTTGTAATCGTAAAGTAAATTCATATCATTGTGTGAATCTTATACTGAGATTACGCTGATGAAGTGGCTAGCTGGTGTTTAATGTCAATTATCTTGCTTTGATGTGTTTCTCTTCCAGGCTTCGAAGTCCTATCATCAAAACTGAGGAAACTGGAGGTACTTGACCTAATTCTGAACAAATTTAATGATAAAAGCATTTTATCATGCTTCAATGGGCTTTCATCTCTCAAGTCTTTGTATCTGTCAGCCAATGAGGAGATCACAGGATCAGTCGATGGTAACCGTTTAATTATTTAGCTTTGAAACATTTTCTTTTCTCCTTGTCATATGATTTAGCTTCTATGCATTTATTTCCTTCCAGTATGCTTAATTTTGAGAAACATCATGCAGGTCTCAAAGTCCTGTCATCAAGGTTGAAAAAGCTGGAGAACCTTTACCTGCGTGGGAATCAATGCAACGATAGCATCTTTTCATCTCTAAGTGGGTTTTCATCTCTCAAGTCTTTGGATCTGTCATACAATGAGGTGATCACAGGATCAGGTACCTTCGATGGTAACCGTTTAATTATTTAGCTTTGAAACATTTTTTTTTCTCCTTCTCATATGATTTAGCTTCTATGCGTTTATTTCCTTTCAGTATGCTTAATTTTGAGAAACATCATGCAGGTCTCAAAGTCCTGTCATCAAGGTTGAAAAAGCTGGAGAACCTTGACCTATTTGGGAATCAATGCAACGATAGCATCTTTTCATCTCTAAGTGGGTTTTCATCTCTCAAGTCTTTGGATCTGTCAGGCAATCTGCTGACAGGATCATCTACTGGTATCAATAGTAAGTTGCATTCTCTTAAGAAAATTGAGGACTTTATATCTACTTAGTAATTAATGATAGCATTAATTTCATCATGTTTGACTGAGCTTTCATCTCTAAAGATTTATATATAAATTGTTTTTCTAATAAGACCGGAAGAGATCAAAATTAGGATGATTAAAGGTATATATTGTTACAGCTGTTATTATGGTCACTGTTAGTGCAGATTAATTAGGGTAGCTGGCAGATGCATGGACACGTGTTAGAAGTTGTTAAGATACGGTTAGAGTTAGTTAACAATATAACACGTGTAATGCATGTGGGGAAGTTAGTAATGGATTACGCACGCAAGAAATGACAGAAGATTATATTACAATACACAAAATGGATACTTCCACTCTATCCTTCTGACAATCTTCTTTCAGGTTTTCAAGTGCTAGCTTCAGGGTTGAGGAATTTGGAGGAACTTTATCTAAGTTCCAATAAATTGAACGACAGCGTTTTATCATCTCTCGGTGGTTTTTCAACTCTCAAATCTCTATATCTGTCAAACAATAGCTTCACAGGATCAACTGGTCTCAATGGTAAAGTTGTAAATCATTCCTACCTCAGATGGCATTCCCTAGTGAGGTTTAATAATTACACGTGTATTAACCCCTAAGTAATTGTTTGGATGAAGCCTTAAAAAGGGTTTATATAATTAATTCTTTAACGAGTGAAATAATTTGAAACTTACATCTACACGCTATTAACTTTTGTTCAATTTCTTAATTTTTTTTTAAAATAAATGAAGGTGAATATTTAATTAATAAAATTTTAATATCATATGAAAACTTATTTTAATTTGAAAAATTAAGCTATGTCTTGTGACATTATAAATTATTTAATTACTGTGACCTCAATGGCACCCTGCCCGCTCAAGGTAAATTAACAACTCTCCATCCGCTCAATATATATTGTATAGGTTGGTGTCAATTGAAGGCTTACTCGAAACTTTACGCTACATTTAGCAAAGGATAAAATCTAGGGTTTCTCAATCTCTAAAATTTCTCGTTCCTAGAAAACTTTTAATTAAAAAAATTATGGATATCAATAATCTAAATAACCAATCTCTAATATATATATAAAACAAACAAAGCTGTTTAAATATAATCTAAAACCAAAAATCAACTAAAACTTTAAAACCGTACTTAGCAATTACATAATTGATATATTCCCTTTCCCTTAACAATGAACATATATATGGATATATTCTACAGGCTGGTGTGAACTGAAGAATCTTGAAGAGGTAGATCTCTCCGGAAACAATCTAAAGGGCGTACTCCCTCCTTGTTTGGGAAATCTATCATCTCTACGATCCTTGGATTTATCTTACAACCAATTGGAGGGAAATATTGCCTCTAGTCACCTTTCCCATCTTACGCAGCTCAGATCCCTCTCACTTACCAATAACTACTTTCAAGTTCCAATATCATTTGGTTCATTTATGAACCTCTCCAACCTCAAGTTCATTGTATGCGATAGCAATGAGCTAATAGCTGCACCCAGTTTTCAGCCTTTAGTTCCAAAGTTCCAGCTTCTTTTCTTTAGTGCTTCAAACTGTACTCCAAAACCACTCGAGGCTGGATTTCCAAACTTCCTGCGTAGCCAACATGATTTGGTGTTTGTTGATCTATCCCACAACAAATTCGTTGGACAACCTTTCCCATCTTGGCTGTTTGAGAATAATACAAAGTTAGATCGACTATATTTGAGAGACACCTCATTTATAGGTCCCTTGCAGCTGCCACAACATCCAACACCCAACCTTCAGACAGTAGATATTTCTGGCAACAGCATACATGGTCAAATTGCAAGGAACATATGTTCTATTTTTCCACGTTTGAAGAACTTCATGATGGCTAACAACAACCTTACAGGTTGTATTCCTCCTTGTTTTGGGAATATGAGCTCTCTCAAATACTTGGATCTTTCCAACAATCACATGTCTTGTGAACTGCTTGAGCATAATTTGCCAACAGTAGGCTCCTCGTTGTGGTTTTTGAAGCTGTCCAATAACAATTTCACAGGGCGATTACCACTCTCTGTGTTCAACATGACTGGCCTAGAGTACCTCTTTCTCGATGGAAACAAATTTGCAGGACAAGTATCGGGTACCTTTTCTCTTGCATCATCATTTTCGTGGTTTGATATCAGTAACAATCTTTTGTCGGGCATGCTTCCAAGGGGAATTGGGAACTCGTCACTAAACCGCTTTGATCTGGCAATTGATTTGTCCAGAAATCAGTTTGAAGGTACCATTCCAATAGAATATTTCAATTCTTCAGCGCTTGAATTTTTAGATCTTTCTGAAAACAATCTGTGTGGGACATTACCGTTGGGCTTCAATGCAACACATTTACGCTATGTCCACCTATACGGAAATAGATTGAGCGGTCCACTGCCATACGATTTTTATAATCTCTCTTCGTTGGTGACATTAGATCTCGGCGATAACAACTTAACTGGGCCCATTCCAAATTGGATTGATAGCCTTTCGGAATTGAGCATTTTTGTTCTCAAATCTAATCAATTCAATGGGAAACTTCCTCATCAGTTATGCTTGTTAAGGAAATTAAGCATATTGGATCTTTCAGAAAATAAATTTTCTGGTTTGTTACCCTCATGTTTGAGCAATTTAAATTTTACAGCGTCAGACGAAAAAACTTCGGTTGAACCTGGTATGACGTCACGAGATTATGGAAGCCAGGAAGAAATATTTGTATCCATAGGTTTTAATTATCGTTATGAAAAAACTTTGTGGCCAGAGATCGATGTAAAAATAGCTGTGGAGCTTACAGCAAAGAGAGAGCTTACAGCAAAGAAAAATTTCTACACTTACGAAGGCGATATCCTTCGTTACATGTCTGTTATGGATCTTTCTTGTAACAGATTCATTGGACAAATCCCGACAGAATGGGGAAACTTAAGTGGGATATTTGCTCTAAATCTGTCACAAAATAATCTCACTGGATTGATCCCTTCATCCTTTTCCAATCTGAAGCAAATAGAGAGCTTGGATCTTTCTCACAACAACTTGAATGGGAGAATTCCTGCACAACTCGTTGAACTGACCTTTCTATCTGTTTTCAACGTGTCGAGCAATAATTTGTCAGGAAGAACACCGGAGATGAAAAATCAATTTGGTACCTTCGATGAAAGCAGTTATAAAGGGAATCCTCTTCTTTGTGGACCTCCATTGCAAAACAGTTGCGACAAAACAGAATCACCATCAGCGAGAGTGCCTAACGATTTCAATGGAGATGGTGGCTTCATAGACATGTACAGTTTCTATGCCAGCTTTGGTGTGTGTTACATAATTGCGGTGTTGACAATTGCAGCAGTACTGTGCATAAATCCGCATTGGCGACGCAGGTGGTTTTACTTCATTGAAGAATGCATCGACACTTGCTACTGCTTTTTGGCTATAAACTTTCGCAAGTTGTCCAGATTCAGAGGGTGATTGGGTCTTATCATGATCGAGTGGGCTGCTTTCTGAATTTGTTGCAATCCTCTGTGGGGAAGCAGTCGCATTCCAAATCACTGGTTGCTCACAACATGTATAGCAATTTGCCTGTGAGAAGTGTTCTGTCGAAGTGTCTGGTTCTTGTTGCTTAGCCTTTCTGTTGTGACATGACTTGTGTTTGTCATTGTGCTTGTATCCATATTTGTTTGTTTCGTTGTTATGTCTTAATTATGTTGCGTTTTGGTCTTAGATTTGGAGAATGAGCAACCAACCAATATTTCCTGGCTTCTTGTGATTACTATATCCCTAATAATATGGAATCTATTCACAAGAAATAGTTTACAGGATTTATTTTCTCAATTAAAAAAATAATTAATAGAACAAAAAGATCATACCAGCAAGGTGAAGTGTGGTTCTACAATAATTTTGTTTGCTTAAAGAACACAAGTCTAAACTTAAAACAGGGCAACGGCATAATCTGTCTTCCTTGCAATAATGTGCTTGATTGCTCGTATTTAGACCTCCTCTCCTGTCCTGTTTGCCTCATCCATGTAAAAAGCAAATAAACAAACATAAAGTTCCATACTTTTAATTGAATTGAATTGCCAGTAAGTTCTTTGTCCATTTGAACAGAGGATTTAACTTTCATGTATAACCTTTTTCAGAATATAGTTAGCTTAATTTGTCATAATGAAAATGATTTTAACTTGAAGCTTCGGTAGCTAAACTCTAAGCAGTTCCGGCTTGCTTAATTACTCTCTCCAGAGGTATCTTCTTCTAGTAGAACTCCAGCCTTCTGACCTCCAAGATGGACTCAATTAGGAAGAATTTGTGTTAGCCCTGCACATATTTTGTATGTTAGCTATCTTACAGTATGTTAGCTTTGTATAGTTGCAGTGGATATTATAGTATCTTACAGTATGTTAGCTTTGATGAGTTGCAGTTGACAGGATTTACTGGTATCAATAATAAGTTACATTCTCTTTATCAAGAAAATTGAGAACTTTATATCTATTTAACAATCAATATAATGAGAGCACTTCCTCAAGTTTCCTGCAAGAATTGGGCAAGATGCATGGAAAGGGTACTTTGTATAGTGACAGTCAGAGTGCAATCTTCCTTGCCAAGAATCCAGCATTTCACTCCAGAACAAAGCACATACAGATCAAATATCACTTCATCAGGCAATTGCTCGACGATGAACAACTGTTACTTGAAAAGATCTGTGGAAGCAAGAATCCAGCTGACATGTTAACCAAAGGAGTTACTCTTGATAAACTGAAGCTGTGTAAAGCTTCAGTTGGTCTTAAAGATTAAAAGACTGACCTAGCGCCAATTGTGTCCAAGTGCGAGATTGTTGTGTGTGGACACAATGTGGTTGGTGGCAGTCATGGCAAGAGTCAAATGGTGGGTGCCTAACCAAAGAAAATGTTGCTCACCATTGTTGAACAAAGGGAAAGGATTGTCTCCCATATCAGCTATAAATAGAGGGTGCAATTAATAGCTGAGACAACATACAAAATAGAGAGAAACACAGAGAGAACTTAGAGTGAGAGTTGAGTTGAGTTGAGAAGTTTTTCTCCTCCTCTTTGTTTTGTTGTTTGTATTGCTTTTGAGCTTGATTAATACAAACCAGAAGCTCCGTGGAGTAGGGAAGTTGCCGAACCACGTAAATTGATGTGTGTTTGAATGGCCTAACATGGTCCTTTTACCAACCTCATATGCATTGAATCCCTCTCACTATCAAATAACCTCTTTGAAGTTCCCATTTCAATGAAGCCTTTTATGAACCACTCAAGTCTCAAGTTCTTCTTCGGTGAGAACAACAGACTAGTAACAGCACCCATTTCCTTTCATGATTTGATTCCAAAGTTCCAACTAGTCTTTTTCCGCTTTTATACATATAGTACAACATTAGAAGCAGTGAATGTAGAAATTCCCACCTTCCTCTATCACCAATATGACTTAAGAGTCCTTGATCTCTCCTACAACATCACTGGAATGTTTCCATCGTGGTTGCTTAAGAACAATACACGATTGGAGCAACTACTTTTGAGCGAGAACTCCTTTGTTGGTACTTTACAGTTGCAAGATCACCCAAATCCAAATATGAAAGTCATAGATATATTCAACAGCCACATGAATGGTCAAATTCCAAACAATATTTGTTTGATATTTCCAAATCTATGGAGCTATGGAGCTTAATGATGGCCGAGAATGGATTCACAGGTTGTATTCCTTCTGGTTTAGGAAATATCAGCTCTTTGGGATTTTTAGATTTATCCAACAATCAATTGTCCACAGTAAAATTAGAACAACTAACAACAATAACGTTTCTCAAGTTGTCAAACAACAATTTGGGTGGGCAAATACCGACCTCGGTGTTCAATTCTTCTGGTCTGTATTTTCTCTAAGTGATAACAACTTACCACATTTTCCCCACCCTCTATTTTCCACCACCCTCTTGGAAAATATGGTATGAATTGGGTTTGAGTAACAATCAGTTTTCAGGCATGCTTCCAAGGTGGTTTTTCAATTTGAAGCATATCTTCACAATTGATTTGTCCAAAAACCATTTTAATGGTCCAATTCTAGTAGACTTTTGTAAGCTTGACCAACTTGAATATTTGGACCTTTCTGAAAACAACTTGTCTGGTTCTGCACCATCTTGCTCCAATCCACTACAAATAACCCATGTGCATCTATCCAATAATAGATTGAGTGGTCCATTACTAAATGGATTTTGTAACAGCTCTTCCCTTATTACGATGGATCTTCGAGATAACAACTTCACCGGCTCCATTCCAAATTGGATTGGCAATCTTCCATCACTGAGTGTTATTCTTCTGAGGGCTAATCACTTTAATGGTGAATTCCCTGTGCTCATTTATGCTTGTTAGAGCAATTAAGGATTTTGGATGTTTCACAAAATCAGCTCTCTGGTCCACTACCCTCCTGTTTGGGCAATCTTACTTTCAAGGTAAGTTCCCAGAAAGCGTTGGTGGATAGTACCCATTTCTTTAGAAACCCTTTTTGGCACAACTTTACAAAAGAAGTGATAGAATTTACAACTAAAAATATGTATTATGGTTACAAGGGGAAAATTCTCAGCTTCATGTCTGGTATTGATCTCTCCAGTAGTAACAACTTCTTAGGAGCAATCCCACAAGAATTGGGAAACTTAAGTAAGTTACTGTCATTAAATTTATCACACAACAATCTCACTGGATCTATCCCTGCAACATTCTCAAACCTAAAGCAGATTGACAGTTTGGATCTCTCTTACAACAAGTTGAATGGTGTCATCCCTCAGTAACTTACTGAAATGAGCACACTGGAAGTTTTTGGTGTGGCGCACAATAACTTGTCAGGTAAGACACCCGAGAGGAAAAATCAGTTTGGGACCTTCGATGAAAGCTGTTATTAAGGAAATCCTTTCTTGTTTGGACCTCCATTGCGAAACAATTGTAGCAAGGAAGCAGTGTCGTCACAGCTAGTGCCTAATGATAAACAAGAAGATGATGGTTTTATAGACATTGAGTTTTTCTACATCAGTTTCGGTGCAAGTTACACAGTTATGGTGATGACGATTGCAGCAGTTCTCTGCATCAATTCATATTCGCGACGCAGGTGGTTTTACTTCATCGAAGACTGCATAGATACTTGCTACTGTTTTGTGGGGGCTAGTTTCCAAAATACACTTTTAAGTACTAATCAGCTAGTTTCCACAGGTTCTCCAACTTTAAAAGGTGAATTTGTTACTGGGAAGATGGTAGTTCCTAGTTTGTGATGATTGTTTGTCTAGTTATTGGATGCTTTGCAGTGTACTATCTCTAAGCTCAGCCTTTATATTTGATTAGTTATTTAGGCTAAATATATAAGCTGGACTGCTCATTCCTGAACCATTATGAAGGGAACTGATTTGGATTGGTCATTGACTTGAGTGTGATTACTCTTTCAACTCCCAAGACTTGTCTAAAAATAAATTGCAAAAACCACTACTAAATTCAAACAAAATATTCAGTGACAACACTTGTATCTGCCTTTGTTCCAAGGGCGACCCCACCTTAGCTCTTCAATCAAAGCTTTGAAATCAGAGCAAGAAGATCCACCTTCTTCAACACATGGCGTTTTTACTATTGTAGTTTTTTCCCAAGTTTAATCACAAATCCCCAGAGCGGGTATATTTAGTATTGTAGTTTGGCACCTGTTTGATTTTACATTTCAAAAATCATAAATGTATTTGAAAAATTTAGAAAATTTTTATTTTTTTTGTTTTTAATTAATATTTTTAAATTATTTTTTCACGATCCAGATCCCGGCCATGGATAGCAAAGCAAGGGTGACACCCCACCATTCATCAAGACAATAGAGAGGTACCGCTGTGAAGATTTCTGGAGAATTCAACATATCACAACAATCACCCGTATCTACGAGAGCCAGGGGAGACGGGTCTCTGAAACTCTTCTGTAATTAGAGGGGTTAGCTACGGCGAGGATACAGTTTCCGGAAAATTATAATCTCTGTCAAGTTCCTCAGGTCTGTACAGACGTTTCATCATGTAATGCTGAGCCTCAGAAAACAGAAAACTGCTGCTCTTCCCTCCTCTTCTCTGCTCCTTTGTCTCTGTTTTGCTGTTGTTGAATCTTCCAACCTGCCATCTTGCCCAAGTTTGTCACCAGTAAATTCTTGACACATCAATTTGTAGACATCAATACGAGTATATTTGGGATTTGTCAAATGTTTATTTTATATTTTGTCAAATTTTCACAACTTGAGTTCGTTTTGCAAGTTCACATCAACTTTTTTTATGCTGGTTTTGTTTTTTGTTTTATTCGTTTTGTAGTAATTTATTTATATTTTTTAATTTAAAAAAAATGACGAGAAAAAATAAAAAGAACTACAGATTCAAAAAGAAAAAAAATAGAGCTAGAGTTCTGATCTTGATCCAAGTGTGATAAGATTTTTCAAAAGATATGTAGATCTGAAAGAGAGACGCAATATTGCCTCTTAGACCAGGTTATAGTATATCTGTACAATTTTACAATTAAACAAGAAAAAAAGGGTCCAAACCTATGAAGTAGAAGATCATTGTTTATTGGATTAGTACTTTGAAATCCTAAACTCGTTTTGTTATTAGAACAAAAGGGTAAACCCACCCTTCGACTTTGCAACGTAGAAGCAGAGTATCCAACTTTGAGCCATAAAGACATTCTGAGGCGAAAAAAAGTTAGAAGCCAATGGTATAAAAAACTTTAATGATGGAAAAAGAAGCCTCTACCACTCACAAGCAACCAACCACAGCAAAGAAGCCTCTACCCTGCCATCACAGGATCTTGTTTGGAAAATTAAGAAGTAGAGAAGATACTTGCAAGTAAAAAAATATCCTCAGTGAAATGCGTGTACTGTGGTGGAAGAGGCTGAGGGGGTACGACGTGACGAACATCTTTTAATCAATGTGTCTCTCTTTTAAGAAGTATTATTGACGGTGAGCACCCCCACATAACTCACTTCATGCATCTATTGGATCCTCATAAACAAGAAAAAAGACAACCACTCACATTGACTTGGTGCATCTAGTGGAACCTAATATGTCAAAAAATAAATAAAAAAATGAAATTTCTCAATCACAAATCCACATATGGCTTTTTTCGTACTGTAGTTGTTTTCCAAGTTTAATCACAAATCCACAGAGTTGGTGTATTTAGCATTGTAGTTTAATCACAAATCCACATAGTAAAAACTGTTCATTTGCTCATACAGTAGCATAGTTTCTTGAATCTCTGTTTCTAATCGGAACAGGGGAGCAACGAGCAGATTGGAGTGTCACACTTTGTCTTTCTTTTGCTCACGACGCTGCCTGCCGAAACGCTGAAGATTCGCCAGCAGCTTGTAGGAGTCAAACCAATGCCCATTCAAAGATTGTATGAGATCTGTTTGCATTAGGTTGGATTTCATGTTGACAAAACCGAACCTCCATTCCTTCCAGTGGATTTGCGCAGTTTCTGCTTTTTGTTGTAAATTGCCGTTGTAAGAGTGTATTTGAGTTTCAACATTATTCCCAGCTTCTGCAAATCAGGTGTTATTCTCTTCTTCCACATTGTCAGTTGATACTATAGAAATTTGCTATTCTTTTCTTCCACCTTACCAATAATTTGCTTCTCTTTTCAGTTGTTCTGATATCTTCAGAGCTATTTTCTTTAGTGGCTATTAGGCAGACCCAATACACCACATCAAAGAACCTACTGCAGCATTCATGAACAAGTGATAGAGAAATTAACTTCTTCAGAGGGATGAGATGCATACTGGGAGTTGCAAAATTTCACAAAGTTTTGCCATCTCAGGCTTCAAAAAAAGATGGAGACTCTTCTCAGAATCATCATGCAAGTTCCTCCCTCCATTATACCCAACCATGTCGGCTTTCAGTACTTGTGAAAATTTACTAGTCAAATGTGAGAAGTTGGCAACGTGATTCGCATCAGTTGTGTTAAGAAGGCCAATTGAACTTGGCATGACTTGAGACATCTTATGCACTGGAGCTCCAGAAGTTCCTGCAGAAAAAGAGA